TGCCAGGTGACAGGTTGGAGTGCAGTGGCGAGATCTTGGCTCACTGCAACCTCTGCCTCCCGAGTTCAAGCAATTCTCCTTTTTCAGCCTCCCGAGCTGCTGGGACTATAGGTGCGCCCCACCATGCCCAGCTAATTTTTGTATTTTAGTAGAGTAAAATATTTTTACCATGTTGGCCAGGATGGTCTCCATCTCTTGACCTCATGATCCGCCTTCCTTGGCCTCCCAAAGTGCTGGGATTACAGGCATTAGCCACTGTGCCGGGCCCTCATCACCTTTTTAACTGCCTTCGCATCCTGAGTTACTTGCTAAGTCCTGCTGTGGATACAGAAGAGGGCTGGGAGCAGGTCACACCAGGACACCATTCAGAGGAAATACACCCAGTGTCCCTGCAGCTGCTCAACACTGGTCACCCTGAGTCTGACCCTAGGTGCCTTCTAAATGCTCACATTTAATTTTAAATGACATTTAAAAAACCTTCTTTGAATATTTCATACAAATATATAAATACTAGAAATTCCCAAAGAGCATGAAGGTACCCAGACAGGCATTCCTTGGCTGAAATAAATACATGTAATAACATAAACATCCTATAGCCTTAGCAAAATAGAAATTTAAATCAGAAATTCAAAATTCAATTAGTACTTTCTTTGGAAATAACTACATTCCTTTTAACCTTTTTACTTTACAGGGCCTATTTTGTGTTTGGGCATGCAAATATATACATATACACACACATATATATAATACATATACACAATACATACATATATAATTATATATATATTTCTATTCTCAGGCATATGGTTGATATGATGAACATAAATGATACTTTTATAATAGATCACTACTACTGTAACAGCACCAGACAGAACTTAGCCACTCTGCATCACACAAAGGTAAATTAAGAAATCTTTACTAACACTGACAGTTTTGAAAGACTTTGGACATTACAGGTATTGCTAGCACCAATGTGACTGAGTACTGAATTGGTTTGGATTTAATTACCACCTGCCTATGGTTTGCATGTGGCATTCGCTCTGTGGTTTTCAATGATGCTATCTTTCCTAGATTTCCACATGTCTAAAAGAGATTGTTGTTGGAAGACAGGGAAATATCTTGTTAATATGTACCTTGGACTATAAATGGGTTGCAGTTAAAGTGATGCTGTAACTTGAAAACTACCTGACCTTCCTAGAAGACCCAGATAGGCGGTAGTTTCTTTAAGGGAAGAACTAGTAGCTACAATAAACACATGGTCTGGGATGGGGTAGAGGGAGTGAAAGGAAGGAAGCAAAAGAATGTGAAGAAGCTCAAGTTAAGTTCAAACAGAAGATAATCACTTCAAAACATTGTTTTAGTGGTGAGATTTCTTTTAGATACTCTCAGCTTTTCAGTTTGTAGAAGCAAAGTGAAAAACACCTCAATATCTATTAGGAAAACTTATATTAATAGCATCAGTCAACCTCATTTTCGTTTACATCCAAGTTCTTAATTCTGTGATTCAATAATATGCAACAGCCACTTATCAGACTTTGGGGATACGATGTTGGTCAGCTCCCTGTTTAATAGATTAGGTTATTAGAGTGACTGATAATAAATTGTCACATAAGTATTAGTATTATAAGCTCATTCAATGCTATAAAGGAAAGATGCATGATTTCTTGGGAGAGTTTAAGTCTCCCAAGCAAGGCTAGAGAAGGCTTTCCTGAGGGCTCAGGATAGAGATGAAGTCAGAAAGGTAGGACACATTTAACAAGAGAGGAGTCAAACTCATCACTGCTGGTTATCAATGAAATCTGGATGAAATTTAGCATCCAGGATTAAAGCATTTCTGTGAACACTTAGTCTGAGACTCACAGAGTTCTTGGACTGGGGTTGTTTTCTGGGAAAGAGAATCCATGTGTCGGTGAGCTTTACCTAAGCAAAACATCTCCTAGCAAAGACTACAGAACTCTGCTAAATCATGGCTAAGTCAGGAAAAATACAGATTTTGTTGGCAGTGGTTGGTATAACTACCATTGTGAAGATGAAGCATATATTTGTCTAATCTCTGGTTTTGAAAATGTTGACAAAATCCAATTGGAATTGCAGTGAACTCAAAGCCTTTGAAAGGCAAGAATTTCCAAGATGATTATTATTTCCGATCTGCTTCCAGAAAACATTAATTTGTTTCACTATTCATTTCAATCCATAGCATGGCAAACATCTGCTGAAAATACCTGCTGTCTGCATCTCTGAAATATGCCAGCTGAAAAGTAAAAGATTCTCCTTTCCCATTTGAGGCTCATATTCAGGAGCAAAGCATAATTTGGATAGCAAAACCAAATCTAAAACTAGGCCACATCAGAATTCTACCTACCTAACTATCTAAGCAGACACAACGTGCTTTTTCTGTTTTCAGAGACACATGTTTAGGAAAACATTAAGGAAAATAATATAAAGAGGACACAAAAGCAATGAAAAAATTATTGCTAGGAGAAATTTAGAAACCATCTCTTTAGGGGCTTTCAAGTAGGAGGTAGAGCTGGGACCGTGGCAGTGCAGAGGGCTGGTAGTTGGTGGCAGAGCTGGAACTACAATACAGGGCATCTGCGTGGTTCCCTGGGGCTGTCCTATGACACACAGGCCTTCCTGCCTATCATTCTCACAAGGGCCCCCCAGTCTGATATCAACTCATATGTTAACTGCCCTCCCCAACTTTGCTACTTTAATTGTCCCCAGAGGACAACTCTGCCAGGATATTTCAGCACCACTTAATAACTGTCTAGACGCTTTCTGTATACTGCATGCACCCTCATGATTCAGAAAAGAGTAAGAAAATCACCTCTCATAACTGGATAGTCAAAGCTAAATTAACTCACTAAACAGACCTACTGTATATTCATGGCACTTCATGTAAGAATTTTACAACAAATAATTAAACATCAAAGAAGTTTATGAACCAGCTTTATTTACTAGCATTTATAAACATAAGCATTTTTATTCTATAGTTTCATGCATGTAAGAACAATGCTAATTGTAAATGAGACCCAGTACAGCTTCTGACGTCCTAAGAGGTACAAATGCTAATTACAAATCACTTTATCTAGTTATGAAAACTTAAGTGCAGTTATGTATTTCAGCCAACCCCACAAAACCATGTAAAACTCACCAATATATCAAAAGCAGTTAAAAGTTAAGGCCACACTAACTTTTCAATACAACTTCAAAAAGGGATTAAAATTACCTAGTTGAACTAGGTATGTACATTCTTTGAGCACTATTATGAATCTCGAGAGTCCAAGTCAATTGACTCAATAAAGGAGAAACCAAGACAGGAAACTTGATTCGAGTTCTTATTCATAAAATGTCTCTATTTCTTACATGAATAAAGTTGATTTGATAATAGTTACTAACCCAATTACAGGAAAGCACAGGTAGACATCATCTACTAGTCAATCATAAAGTCTGAATACACTGGGCACTGTGGCTCACACCTGTAATCCCAGCACTTTGGGAGGCTGAGGTGGGTAGTCACAAGGTCGAGAGTTTGAGACCAGACTGGCCAATATCGTGAAACCCTATCTCTACTTAACAAAAATTAGCTGGGCATGGTGGTGGGCGCCTGAAATCCCAGCTACCCGGGGGGCTGAGGCAGGAGAATTGCTTGAACCTGGGAGGTAGAGGTTGCAGTGAGCAGAGACTGTGCCACTGCATTCCAGCCTGGGTGACAGAGCAAGACATGTTGGGTTATATCTTTTCTTCTACTTGACTGCAAGTTATGACAGTGAAGTGAAAAGCTTTCACAAATCAGCTTTAAATAATAATTTTAAAAGGCCTATTCTGATTAATAGAGACAGCTAAAACATCCTTAAGCACGCAATCACTTTAGTATTTTGCAAGATATTTTCAGGGGCACCAAGAATTCCATGAATCTGTCTCAACCTTTAAAGCTCGATTACAAGACAGAGCGGAGATTTCAAATTCAAATGAATAGTATTTCAAAATGAGTTTCTATCAGTTCTTTGGTAAAACAAACAAGCAAATGTCATGTAAAAAACTCTGAAAGAATAATGCTAATTTATCACTGCCTAAAATTTTTAGAATCACATTTTTCACATGCATGGCAAATTTCTAAGCCAAAGAATTATGAAAAACATTAAAACTTAGATCCAAAGTTTGCTATGTCTTTAAAGTAGGTGTTTTCCTTTTTAATTTTTTGATATGCCACTATAAGATTGAAGTCTCTTGCCTTTCAGCAATAAATATTAAATATCAGTTTCCTAGTTTGGCTCATTCTTAAGAAAAGAATTAGAGTCAGTCCAGGGGAGAACATATTTTGTTTGAAAAATGAGACCACATGCTTCAGCTGTCTACCACTGCCAGTGGTGTTTTACAACGTAGGGAGAGAAATTCAATCTAAACTCACCAATCGTGTGTAATATGTCTGTGGGATGGAATTCAGTTACAGCAGCCTTAGAAGAGTTCATGAAATTACATTTTCAAGAAACTTAAAAAATTCTGCATGAAGTCAGACAGAGTTCTCTGCTGCACACTGTAATCTGACACTAGGCTGAAGAAACTGACCAAGTTTAAGTAACCCAAGAGGAACTGTTTCCTGCTTTCTGTTAGAACAGTCTGCAATGACCTATAGTAACACGGCTGAGGCAGAGGTTACTATCGGGCACTAGATGCTGCTATCAGGAAATCAGTCTGGTCCATGGTTTTTCTTTCTTTCTTTTTTTCTCGGGTAGCACTTAAGTGTTTGTAAGAATTCAACCCTGCTCACCCATCAAGTTTATCAAGACAAGAAAAACTAAAAGAAAGATTGGAAAATCCACTTAGGCCAAGTAGGTAGCTCCCTCTTCACCTCAACAAAAGGACTGCCATGGAAAATGTGTTAAGATGGAACTCTGTATCAAAACAAACTTGCCTGTGAGTATCTCTGAGAAGATGCAGCGGCCCTTCTAAATGAACCAAAGGTCTATTTGACAGTGGTTTATTTTAGCTCACTTTACCTAGTCTGCTCCTGTAAGATGAGATGAGGCTCCACGAAGAACTTGACTCTCAGTTTAAACCGGTAAGGGGCTAGCCCATCCATCTGCTGGGAGATCCGGTTTCTCAGGTTGAGCCATAAACTTTCACCTTTGCTACCCGTAAACTGCAGTCCAAAATAATCAACTTCTATGATTCCCAATCGCCTGCACACCTAAAACAAAAAGGAATGCAGCCAGGATGAGCAAATGGTACATGTCAAAGCAAACTCAACGGCTCCCAGAGACTGAGATTGCTGGCACTTTTCACAAAGTTCGATGCTGTTATAATTCCTGATCTAAACTGGAAAAACCAAGTTCTACAGCTCCAATGATACCAAACCACGAGCTGTAATACGGAGACTCGTAATTCACTTTAACATCTAGGGCATGACCAATTGCAATAGAGAAAAAAAGGAGCCCTCAAAAGTGGCCTTCCAAAAGGATGAGGAGGGGAAACTACCGGGTATTTTCCTTCTTATTCCGACCACCAGAATACCCTCCAGCAGCATACTCTGCACAGCTGATTTCTGGCGACTTATTATCTGGGCAATTTTAGCCACCTGGACTCCAAAAATCAAACACATTGAAGGAACATGCTACAGGTGTCAGCTAAGCTTCACAAGCGGTTTCCCAAACATCTCAGAGCTAGAGGGGTCGAGGGCACAGCGTTTCCCTTGGATCACATTTGCCGTCTGCCATACCACTTATGTACTATTTGGCACCGATCTCCCTCACTCTTAAGGAAACAACACATGCTTAAAAACAACTGAGCAGTAGATGACCCAAAGCTAGTCCTCCCGTGTCCCCCGCAAACCCGGAGACGTAGGTGAATAGTGCATTTGAGAAGCAGCCTGAGAAGTAGCGTGAGACAAGGGCTGGGCTAGTCTGCTAAGGACCCCTGGGGCCGGAGACTGCTTCGAGTCACTCCATCCCATCCTGGCACGCGGATGGTACTGCCAGGCGCCGCGGGGACCCGACAGGTGGCATCAAGCACATACCTGCGGCAGGTGTGCTGGGCCGCCTTCTTCCGGGAAAGTGCGGGGTTGGGGGGATGATGGGGGGATGGATCCCCGCTGCCCCACGCTGCGCACGTCCAGGAGGAGACCGCGCGCCCCATGCCTGTGGAGGGAAGGGGACGCGCTTTCCCCGGCCGCCGCCGCCGCCGCCGCCGCAGTGCCGCCCGGCCCCTGGTAGGCGGCGCGCCCGTCTGCCCGGCGTCACTGTGAGGCACCTCGGCCTCGCGGGACCCGCCAGAACCCTCTCCTGCCCGTCGCCCTCACCTGGTTGAGGCAGTCCTCGCCGTTGGCTTTCGCCTCCACCTCCACCTCCATCGGCACTGCGTCCGGCCTCGTCACATAGCACAGCATGACTAGGGCTGCCGCTGCCGCCACAGCCGCCTCCTCTTTGGTGTGCGCGGGGCTACCGCCTTGTCACGGCTGGGACCCAGCCCCGAGATCCGAGAGGGCTGGCCTTCGAAGGCTGCTGCTCTGCGGACCCTGTCCTGCGCCCCACGGCCGCCGCTCGCGTCCCCGCTACCCCCTCGCCCGCCGCCCGCCGGCGCCCCGTGTCCTCCGCGGTGGCGCCGCACTCCAGCAGCCCAACTGCCAGCGCCGAGACAGGGACTCCGCTGAAATAGTGGCCCCGCCCCCTTCAGCTCGGGCCCCCGCCAATCACGGCCTCCCCGCCCCTCCTCCGCCGCACGGTCAGCCAATAGCGACGCCTCTCGGCCGCGGCCCCTGCTTCCCAGCGCCGGCTGAGTTCCCCTGGCCGCCCCTGGAGGTGGTAGCCTGCGGGCGCCGAGTGCTGCGCAAAGGAGGGAGGCCAGGAACACACCCTCCGACTCTGCCCGCTGGGCGACGCTGCTCGGAGCTAGCGATCGCCCGGGGCACCAGGCGGGGACGCCTTTCTGCCGTCTCGAATCTACCGTGATTAAACACCTCCAAGCTGCCACTATTCTTAGGATATCTTGGATCACTCCGAGCACGCATTTCGATTGTGAAAGCAAAAAGGAAAAGGAGCAACCCAAAGCCTAAAGGAAACTGTTTTCCACCAGCATTAGCCACAGTGGGTTGCTGGCAGAATCGTTGTTCCTTATTAAGACCTCATCACTGAGAAAAACAAAATCTGAGTCTAAAAGTTTTTGCAGTTGACCAGTGAGCCAGATGTCTTGGTATAGTGTTGGTATGTTTCCGGGCTTCTCCTTACTCTCTGTTGAATCAAAACGTCTTACAGGGTACTAGGCCGTCTCTCAGGTTGCTCATTCTGTCTCCTGTCCTTTCTCGCTCATTCATTAAACATTCATTCAGCACCTGATACCCTGCCTGTCCCTTCTCCCAGGCAACCAGATGTCCTCGTCTTAAGGTAATGTACTCGTCTCCTGACCGAACAGGTGGCATTATCGCAATAGTAGCTATTAATAATTGAAGGTCTACAACTCTTCACACATTTACCACTTGTTCCTTTTTGCCAATACATTACATAGCCTACCTTTTTTATTTCTTTATAGGCAAAGCCAGCAAATGCGGGTTTCAGCTGTGGAAACGTACAAAACTTAACTTCAGGCCAGCGTGGTGGTTCACACTTGTAATCCCAGCAATTTGGGAGGCCGACGCAGTAGGATCGCTTGAGCCCAGTAGTTTGAGACCAGCCTGGGCAACATAGCGAAACCCCATCTCTACAAAAAATATAAAAATTTAGCCGGGCGTGGTGGCACCTGCCTGTAGTCCCAGCTACCCTGGAGGCTGAGGTGGGAGGATCACTTGAACCTGGGAGTTGGAGTCTGCAGTGTGCTGTGATCCTGACACTGCGCTCTAGCCTAGGTGACAGAGGAAGACCCTGTCTTTAAACAACAACAACAACAACAACAATCAAAGAAAGAAAGAAAAAAGAAAACTTACTTCATCTGTCTGATGCTCAGTGTTGTCAACAGTAAAATGGAGACTGCAATATCCGCTCTGTCTCCACCCAGCATTGCTGGGAAGCACAGCAAAGATAATAATGTTCACAAAAGCATTTGAATGTCCCTGTGCATGTAAGGAGAGCTATAAGGTCAGCTGTCACTGCTTAATGATGACTTTTCCTGTCCCTACCCCCCTTCACGAGTCCCAAGGACCTGTTAGTGGCCTTTATTTCTGATCAAATAGGTACCATATCAGAGCCCAAGTCTAAATAAAGGGAGGGGTCCTCCCACACACAGTTCTTTGCTAAAGCTGACTGAGTAAAAGTGTAAATTGTCCAAGTCCTAACCCACACTGTTGCAGAGGGACACCTGTGTGCTCACATCTTTATCTCTTATGAATACACCTCATGCTATTGTGGGCTGAAATAGTCCCTTCCTGTATTAACTGTGGTGCCTCATTTCCTTAATTCCAGTTTACTAATAATCTGGGGAATTAACCTGGAAGGTAGCATTTGGTTTATTGTTGCCTAATTTATGCTTAATTGCTAGAAGTTTCAGAACAGGAAGTACAGGCGAGGGGGAACGGGGAGACCAGTTGTATTCATTAGTATTCTGTTTATGCACAATAGAAACCAAAGCTGGAAACTCATAAAATCAATGGGACCAGACGTGTAAGTGAGTAGAATGGGGAAATATTGGTCAAGAAAAAAATATAAAATAAAACAAGCAAAAACCCAAACCAAATACCCATTTTGTGGACTACTTTAAAAATAACGTATTTTTGGTTTTAGTAGGGATTTTTTTTTCTGCAAGTATGATTTCATTTTTTTTTTTTTTTTAAATCTAAGCCCAGGAGGTCCAGGCTTCAGCCAGTTGTGATCTCACCACTGCACTCCAGCCTGGCTAATGGGAGTGAGGCCCTTCTCAAACAAAACAAAAAAGAAGCAAACAAAACCCAACATTTTTAATACTTTTCTTTTTTGAGACAGAATATCGTTCCTGTTGCCCAGGCTGCAGTGCAGTGGCGTGAGCTTGGCTCACTGCAGCCTCCACCTCCCAGGTTCAAGTAATTCTCCTGCCTCAGTCTCCCAATTAGCTGGGATTACAGTCACCTGACACCACACCTGGCTAATTTTTTGTATTTTCAGTACAGACAGGGTTTCCCCATGTTGGTCAAGCTGGTCTCGAATTCTGGACCTCGAGTGATCTGCCCCCCTCGGCCTCCCAAAGTGCTGGGATTATAGGCGTGAGCCACCTCGCCTGGCCTATTTTTAGCAATCATCATTTGCAAAATAGTTGGAAGTGTAAGATTGAGAAGAATTTTTAAAATTATTTTTAATTTTTTTTCCGAGACAGGGTCTTGGTTTGTTACTAGGCTGGAGGGCAGGTAGCGATGTGAACATAGCGTACTGCAGCCTTTAACTCCTGAGCTCAAGCAGTCTTCCCGTCAGCCTCCAGAGTACCTGGGACCACAAGCAGGTGCCACCACACCTGACTAATTTTTGTATTTTTTGTAGAGATAGGGTCTCGCTTTGTTGCTCAGGCTAGTCTCGAACTTGTGGGCTCAAGCGATCCTCCTGTCTCTGCCTCCCAAAGAGTTGGGATTACAGGCATGAGCCACTGCGCTTGTGACAGGGATATTTCTAATCCAAACCCAGACAGTGCTTCTGCTAAAGGATGGTTGGTGAAAATTTCAATTGTTTTGAAATTAAGAATCACCAGGTAAGAGTGAAGAAAAGGATTTCTTAAAACCAAAGCTAAAAACAGGAAAATGGCATTTGAGGGTGGAAGGGGTGGGCAGTAAGAAATCCTTACGACTGGAAGCGAAAAAAAAAAAAAAAGAAAAAAGAAAAAGAAAAATACTGGCTTCCCACTAGCATGAATGGAATATGTTGGACTATGACCTCTCCCTTTTCTTACTTTCTTTCTCTGTCTCTGTCTCTCATCTCTGTTTTGTAATTTCTTCCTTGAGTAGAGCTAAGGAGAGACTGGTTAGTAACAGAATGAGGAGGCTGAGTGAGCTGGTGAGAAAGCACATTATGCTCAAAGACCTGGTTAGGGAATAGAAGACCCACAGTAGAATTACTTCCTCAAGGGTTCCACCATCTGCTACTGAACGTCTGAAGCCAGTTTCAAGCCCCAGCTGGGTCTAACTCCAAAATAAGAGACTGAACACCCGGGGTGGGAACTATATTGGATTGAGCTGTGACTGAAGCCAGAGAGATGCCCAAGTGATCTGTGTCTGCTCTCTTTTTCTCTCAATTAGCTCTCATCTTTTAAAGATAACATTAAAATTAACCAGCATAGTAAAAAAAAAAAAAAAAAGGTCAGCTGTATGAATATAGAATTTAAAAATAGAAAGCCTAACTAGGCGTAGAGTTGGCTAACCCAGTGGAGTTCATACCTGAGCACCATGGATTTTCTCTGTCTCACATCCTAGGACTCAAGACTGAGCACTAGCACTAGATCATAGTTGTGGGATGTGATGATCATTTGGCTGCAAAATATTCCTTCTGATTGAGCACTAGGTCTGATCTGGATGGCTGGGTACCTGTCTCTGTGCATTCCATTCTCAATACTGCATGTATCACTGCAGAAACCCTGTGCCGGGTCTCCAGAGAAGAACAGCTTTCATCACCTGCCACACCCTTCTCTTTGCCTCTCAACGTTCATTTGTAGAAGCACCAAGGGAAGAATAATCAGTGACTGCCTAAAAAACTGTCGTTTTGCTTTCACACATTATTCAAGCTAATGGTTCACATAAGTAATGCTTCATCAAGCACAAGTATGTTAGAATGTGTAAAATGAGCTGAAATCTTTCCTTTGAAACGTTAGGCTTGTGAAATTCAGTAATTGAATTTGATCCTGGCCTGCCATCAAACCAGAACATCTCATTTTGGAAACTGGCTGTTTGAAGAGAAAAAGAAGGAATGAAGCAGGAATAGGCAGCACTCATGTTAAAAACTCTGGGAGATATGAAATGGCATTGTTTCAATTACCAGGCAGTTAAAAAAAATTCTAGTTGAGAGTGACTCTTAGGAGGTTACTGTTCATAGTGGAATACTTGGAAAAGACAGAAAAGTATAAGGCAAAAAATGAAGTACCTATAATTTTATCAGACATTTCTATTTAGTATTGATGTTTCACTGTTGTATTTTGCATATGATGGGTTCTAAATACTTATTGTGTTATAATCAAATACTGCATGTTAATTTCCAGAAACATACTAAGAGAGCAAGCGAGACGTGGATGGAGAGTTCCAAATCTAAACCTGCTGTTATGAATATTAGGAAGGTTATAACCAGAAAGACTAATTCCAACTATTCCACCACACGAAACTAATTCCAACTATTACTGTGTCTCAGCTCTCTTCTTTTCTTCTCTGGACTACTAACCTTTCTTACTTTTGTCTTCCTCCTCACTACTCAGATGCCCCGAAAGGTCACATTTTGTGATATGTTCACTTGTTTGGTGTGTGTCAAAGATGCCAAACAAATATTATGTCTTCATTGAGAGATGCTCCAAGCTGGGAGAAACAGAATAGAGAACAGACAACCAATCTGCCTGAGGCTCCAACTCAAGCCAAAAGAGGAAGTGTACATGCAGGAGGGTTTGAAGGGTTCTAAGGTCAGCATGTCCGGGGCGGGGAGAAATGATCTTGGAGAAAAGAGGGAGTGATAGGCAGAATAACAATGTCATCTGAATTATATCCATTGTCAAAAAATT